CCGTTTATGGCTCAACTCCATGGATGCTTTGTCAATCCATTCTTCGCATTCTGTTACTACCCGTAGTTATACGCACATTGTTCAGTCAGTGATTAGGTTTGTCGTTAAGTTGATAGTCAAGAGAAACATAAACCTCGCCTTGAGGTTATATAGCGCCTCCCGGATGCCTTCATGGCTATTTGCAACCAACGTCATTGTTCAGATCTGTCGAATGATCAATCTTATCATGTGAGATTCTGGAGGCAACCAATTCTCACACATGAACTGCTGCCTATAAACACCCAGCATTCTCCATTCCCCATAGCGGAATCCTTGAATCCATCTCTGCCGCCTGGCAAAAATCAAAATTCTGTCTGTTAACTACCACGAATGTCAAACATCGACATACATATAGTATCCAACCGGTAAGAGATGAAGCAGCTGGCGTCGGACTTTTGTAGTCAAGTAGCATGAAGTCTTCACCTTCATCCCAGATCTTCCGTCTCAATCAATATCCCTGTTATGTGAACGTCTCAATTTCCTGTGGGGTGCAGATAAACCTGGCCACGACCGCCTCTGATTCACAATCGGCTTCATCCACAACAAACTTATCCCCGCTATTCATATTATTATTCAAATAAACGAATGGAGCAGGTTGCGAATGAAAGGTGGTGAAGTTTCCATAGGGCTGAGATGCATAAGGTATCGCTGTTCTTCGCTTGAATGGTCTCCTCGCCCCCACTAGTTTTGAGCCCTTGGGTCGGTTCGTTGAAATCACTGATGCACGTGGCCTGCGATGAAACAGGAAGCTGCCACCATGGGGTTGCCATCGTGGCATCGAACTTGCATGCGTACCCTACTCGGGGTATTTAACCGGTTTCGCGTGGTGCGGGAAGCAACGATGACGCCAACAGGCCGCATCTCCCAACACTATCCTGACCTGTCAAAGTTGGGCTCTTATAGGTGGAATTGTGATGTTTGACACGCTCATGAAGCTGCGTAAGGACCATGCCTACCGATGGATTGGAAGCGAGATCGTAATTTCCCGAGTGTCACCCTCCGGCTGGATGCTTGCTCGCCTGGTCTAGACCACTTCCCCCTTTCGTCATCGATCGTGATGACCAATATGGCTTCGCATTTTCATTTATGTGCGTGTTTTACGTGTTGGCTGGGAGTTCACTATCCGAACAAGAAGTTCGCGAGGCTTTGAGGTACATGTCACTGCTACGCTTTTTCAACATCTACCCGAAGATGCTCCCTTACGCCCGTCACGCCCTCCACATAGATTTTCGTTGATTCCCATGTCACTGTTGCTTGCTCTTGATGGACTTTGGGACAAGATGTCATTCTCTCTATTGGTGCCCATTGGAAACCAGCATGAAAAAGACAAGACTTGCGTGCAGGTGTTGAGTGAGAGAGGTTCCACTTTAAACACAAGGCTTTGTACCCGGATATGGCGAGCTGCAGACAACGTTATGCCAAAAGACAACCACCATTCAACACTGTCGGAAAATTGAGAGACTTTGTTTTCGCCGCAGGATCGCGAATGAAGAACTTCTGAAATTAATTTTCGAGACTAGACACGCCGAGGTACAATATACAGCAAGGTACAGATATGGTAAAGGACCAAGCGAGACTAGACACGCATTGCGAACCAGAAGCGATTACATTCTTCCGGGTTCTCGCGCTTGATTCCGGAATCAAGCGATTGAAAAAAACGTGTACCGAGGTACGCGCCGATCAGCATCCTTTTTTTCCTTTTTCTTGGATGAAAAACTCCACAGCTCACTCCTGGACAGCCGAGGTATTCGTGATTGCAGGGGTTATGGTTATGGTTGTTGGTGTCATCAACACGATGGTTGGCTACGAGCAGGGGCTCAGAATCTGGATTCTTGACTTCGTTTCCGAGACGCCACTAGTAGACCCGCTACACTAGCTTCATCGCTTCTCGGCCACTGTGTGTCGTCATTGTTCAAGTAAAATCGGAATTGCCTCGATGCCTCTGCCCTAGGCAACAACCGCGACTTCAACATGCCCCATTTGGCTTGCGTCTGTTCATCAGCTGCTGATCAACACTGCTCCTTCAGCAATCAGCGGTCTAGTTCTTCAAACCCCGCATTGGACGTTTGCGCCTGGCGTCACGCTCATCTATCTAAGTCTGGCAACGGCGAGTAGTGTGTGATTCTCATTCGGCCGGTAATCGGATTAGTGGCTAAAGCCACATGGCTTGCTCCCGAGCTTCCGGCTGAGAGGGAAAAGTGAATAGGCTGATCAATTGCGGGTGAGACCGAAGTTCAAGAGGCGCACTCGGGCCATCAGAAGGCACAATGCCATAACCGCATGTCTTGAGCAATACTTCTCTTATGCGAATCTGAACCTAAAATTCCAACTGTCAAGCCAGCAGAAGCGGTCCTATCGGCCCTACCTTCAGCAGCTCAGTCACATGTCCTTGGCCACGTGTTGAGCCCGAGACCTGTCTGCGATTGCTAGTTTCTCCTGATTTGGGTGCGATGCTCCGAGCCGATTTCTCAAACTACGGGATGAAGTTCCACACCGTGTTCCCGGCCCACGGCGATGCAGAGAACTCGCTCTCTCACACGCACAACGAGAGGACGCCGAACCCCAAACCCCAACGCCAAGGAAGCCGGCGGAGCCGCAAGGACAGGGGTTAACATCCAGTCCTCCTCCAGTCCTCCTCAATTTCCCCTCTGTTCCCCAACCTCCATTCCCCGCCTCCGCACGCTAGAAATCTCCCACCTATCACAATGCTTCAGCAACCCCAGACAACAACAGGGATCTGGCTCTTACTCCACACGACATCCGGACCATTCCTAAACACACATTACGCGCACCAATGGAAGGCGACATGTTGATGCTCTGACAATGAGCTTGGTCCGCTGCTGCGCCAATGGCAGTACATAAGACTCTTACCCCAACTCTCCCCCAATTCTCAGTATTTCTTGGCTACGCCGCTCTTCTTGGCCTCTTCTTGTTTCCTCTTGGCTTGTGAATCACTCTTGGCGTTCCCTTGGCTACGACTTGGCCCAGCACAACCGCTCAAGACTCCAAGATGTCAACGGGTGTCACTGACGACGGGCACAACGCCCCCCGCGTCAACAGCAGCAGCGAAGATGCTCGCATCGACGAGAAGCACGACGCCGGCCATGGCGCGCACCACGTCGACGTTGCCAACTCCAAAGTCCTGGCTGACAACGACCTCATGAACGATGCCTTCGATGGCGAAAACCAGGAGCACCAGCAGGGTCTTTGGGAGGCTGTCAAGACCCACCCGAAAGCTTGTTTCTGGGCCTTCATCATGTGCTTCACCATCGTAAGTCCTCTGACATGACTCGCTACGCGACACTCGCCCTGGGCAATTACTGACGGATCTCGTACAGGTCATGGAGTCCTTCGACATGTTCTTGAACGGCAACTTCGTCGCGCAGGCGGCTTTCCAGAAGAGATACGGTGTGCAGGTTGCTGATGGCTATGCTATTGAGACCAAGTGGCAGAGTGCTCTCTTCCAGGCTGGTCAATGTGGTGCATTTGTTGGTGTTTTCTTGGCTGGCCCTGTCGTCAACAAGTTCGGCTACCGATGGACCACCATCTTTGCACTGATCCTCATGAACGCCACCATCTTCATCTCTTTCTTCGTAAGTCACGCCACAACGATGTTTCTTCCGTTCTGTTGACTAACAACATGCTATCCAGGCCCAATCACTCGAGGTTCTCACCGTTGGACAGGCATTGGAGGGTATCCCTTGGGGATTCTTCATTGCCATTGGTCCCGCCTACGCATCCGAGATCGTTCCTCTCGCCCTTCGAGGTGCCTGCACTGCTACTCTGCAGATGTCCTGGTCCATTGGCTCCATCGTCGTTGCTGGGGCTACTCTTGGCTACAACAAGCGTGATGATGAATGGGCTTGGCGTGCGCCTCTCGCCCTGCAGTGGATCTTCCCTGTAAGCCGCCCAGCCCGTCCGCCGTTGATATACCGAAGCTGACATTACTTTCATGCAGACTCCCCTCATGGTCATCCTCTTCTTCGCTCCTGAATCACCATGGTGGCTCATCCGCCGCGGCCGCAAGGACGAGGCACTTCGCTCCATCAAGCGCCTTGGTCCTTCTAATGCTACTATTCAGCAGAACCAGCAGAAATATGCTATGATCGAGCGTACCGTCGAGATTGAGTCTCAATTGGGCGGCTCTCCCACCCTTCTCGACTTGTTCAAGGGCGTCGACCTCAGACGTACCACCATCACTTGCTTGATGTACGCCTCGCAGAACTTCGCCGGTAACCTGATTGCCAACCAAGCTACTTTCTTCTTTGAGCAAGCTGGCATGGGTCACGACCGCGCATTCGACCTGAACCTTATCAACTCTTGCCTGCAGTTCATCGCCAACGTTCTCTCGTGGCCGCTGACTGCTTGGTTCGGTCGCCGCACCATCTACCTCTGGGGTACCGCCACCAACGTTACCCTCCTCATCGTCCTGGGCATTTGCGCTTCCATCGAGCAAACGAGCGCGACCAACTACGCACAGGCCGTCTTGGGTATCTTGATCTCCTTCGTCTTCGCCGGTACTCTTGGCCCCATCTCCTACACCATCATTGCCGAGACCTCCGCTGTCCGTCTCCGTGCGCTGTCTACTGCCGTCGGCCGCGCAGCCTACTACGTTGCCGAGATCCCCATGATTTACCTGGCTTCTCAGCTCCTGAACCCTACCGGATGGAACGTCGCTGGAAAGTGCGGCTACGTCTGGGGTGGAACTGCCATTGTCTGCTGGGTCCTGGCCTACTTCGGCCTTCCTGAGCTCAAGCACCGTTCTTACCGCGAGACTGATATCTTGTTCAACCGCAAGATCTCCGCCAGGAAGTTCAAGTCTACTGTTATCAGTGTTACTGATAACGAGTAATACACCAAGGTTTTCGATTCGCCCAAGAGAGGCATCATATAGACCCTGTATAATTCGCATCTAGACACTAGACAAATACCCCTTAAATACCAATAGAAATAATCTAGACCTAGTCCTCCTTGGCCAGTCGATACATCAATGTTCCGTGACCCAAGCTGTCGTAACCTCCGGAGTTTGGGCTGTAGTCGCCACCACCGCCCTCAACCTGAACGCTGATGTTGCCGTTGACGAATTCTCGATACTCTAGTGACCAAGATGCATTCATACCCTTCAACTCTGCATAATGTGAATACAGAGCTTCGTATCCTGGCCGGATGTCGAAACGAGCCTTTTCTGCGACGACCTCCAACACCCCTTCCCAACTTGTGTAGGGAGTATACGGCACGGAGTGATTTGTGTTGTACTTGGCCACATATTCAGCCCTTTTTGGTGATAAGATCAGCCAAGCCCAACGTTTTCTGTTTAGTAGGTTCTAGATCACTTACGCGTTCAAGATCTGGTGGCCGTAAGCCGAGTACAGGTCGACGCCTTGGTTCCAACCCTGCTGGCCAATGACGCCAAGCAGTGAGATACACAAGAGGGCATGGGCTTGGTCACGACCCGACTCTTGCATCTGCATCAAGGTCTTGCCTGAGTCCTCCTCGGTGAAGTTTGCGATTGAGAAGTAAGGAAGTGCACCATTGGCAACGACCTCGGGTTGCCCGGGTAGACCGTTCTTGAAGTAGTTGACGGCATAATCGTACATCGTCCGATTTTCAGTGAAAATGCCAATCGACATCAGAGACGCGATGTTGCAAAGATCCCAGTTGGCATAGTAGAAGTTTGGTTTGTTGTAGTGGTGCTCGAGAAAGTCGTGGTTGTACTTCGCAAAGATGTTGCTGAGCATATCGCCAAAGGCATCTTGGCTGGTCTTAGGCCAGCCCGAGTATGTGCGCATTAGCTCTGCGGCATTTGCGAACTGGTACCCGTACAAGCCCGCGGCAAGATACTTGTCCTCGGTACCGTTGATGTCGGTCAGGGTCGAACTCCAACCGTCTAAAATATCTCTGGCGTGGTCGGCATAAGAGACGTTGCCCCCGATGTGCCAGCGGAGAGCTAGCTGATATGCTGAATGAGCGTCGCGATATGCGTATCCGTAGTTGGCCTTTGGCTCGGTGAACGTCGCGTTTGATCCTCGAACGAGAACAGTCTGGGGAGTCGGAACCCATGTCGTTTGAGCGAGCTTTGAAGATTCGAGATGTTGCCAAGCCCGGTACCACGGCTGATCCTGAGCTTGGACATGCTTCTTGATCCGGTGGAAGTCCTCGGCACTGTGCAGAGCTCCAGGATGGACAAATCCGACGTGTCCTGGATCTGATATAGCAGCTGGAGAAGCCCAACAGGTGAAGCTCTGGAAAACAGCCGTAACGACAAGAAGGCTATTGAATTTCATGATTAGAACCGATTATGGTTATTGCCGCCTCATGTGACGCGAATGAAATGAGACTTGACGTTTCTTGCATGAAATTCCATAGCCGACTGAAGTCATTTATTGCCTTTCTTAATCGCCGTATTCAATCCGAGAACTGCGCAAGCTGTGAACTCCTCCGCCATCTGCCCCACGTTTCCCCGCCATCGCCCCGGAGCCAAGAACGCGGTTCGGCCCGCAGGGTCACAATCCCCTCGAGCTGGCAGGGAAGAGGCCGAGCATTCCCCCGATCGTCCGGCGACCCCGCTCATTTCCCCAGGAGCCATGAACAGTTCCCCTCAATGTCTCCCTCTGGCACCAGGTGTACCTCTCAACATGCAAGAGCTAGGTCTACTCTCACATAGCCTTAAGTTCCCTTCCTTCTTGCAACTGCAGACTTCGCGCGTTCATCCATGGCAGAAGGCCTGAGCTGGTCTCACTATCAGTATGAATCATCAGTGATCTAATGAGGCGCCACAGAAATGAATCATAATGTCTCATAGCATGGCCAGCCTACATTGTGACACACCGTCAGTTCACGTGATGCTCGCAGTACCTCTATTTCCCTCATTTGGGATATGATTTACTGCGGAGAAGCCCTCCTTGACGGACGACAAAGTATTTATGATTGATACAGTTGTTGCGTCGTGAATACACCTTCAAAAATTTCCCTAGCCGAAGCACTGCTCTCTTCATTCCGTATCGCACTTTCAAAATGGCATGGAATCTGCTGGGACGCGGATGGGATCCATCTGGATGGGCTAGCCAATGGCTCCCCCAGGTGTCTCTGGAGTCCAATGCAAGATGCAGCCCGTACGGAATATCGCTCCCTGATCTCACCGGAATCAAGATCATGTCAATCGAAGCTTACGAAGAGCGCAATTACACATACGTTCCGGGTATATTTGGAGCAGGGCTGCCGGGCTCTAAGCCCATTCCAGATCTGAATTTCTGCAACGTCACCGTCACATACACGCACCCCGGGTGGCACGATACCATCAATGTGAACACCTTACTTCCTACCAATGATTGGAACGGCAGATTCACGGGAGTCGGGGGAGGCAATCTTGCTACTGGGGGCGGGGAGGTAGCAGGGTTCTTGATGATGCCAATCATGGCGTCAGGCCATGCAACCGCTACCACCGACGGCGGACACTCGTCCGACGTTCTTGGCCCCGAAGCCAACGATCCTTCATGGGCCCTGACTAGCCCTGGAAATGTCAATTGGCCTCTTCTCATGGACTTCGCCTCGGTTGCACTGCACGAGACGGCAATCATTGGCAAAGCCGTCACCAAAGCGTTCTACGGCACGTCACCAAAACATTCATACTTCTTTGGCGGCTCTACAGGTGGTAGACAAGGTCATATGCTCGCACAAAGGTACCCCCAGGACTACGATGGAATTATTGCTCTGTTCCCAGCCACGAACTGGGTAAAATTCTTCTGGGCTAGCTACTGGCCGAAATTTGTCATGGATAAAATGGGCGTGTACCCCAAACCATGCGAGTTTGAGGCCATCACAGCTGCAGTCATGTCTGCTTGTGATAAGCTAGACGGGGTGGAAGACGGTATCATCTCTCGACTTGATCTCTGCAACTTCGATCCTCACAAAGTTGTGGGCAAAATAGTTGACTGCGACGGTACTGAGGTCGCTGTCTCCTCGGCGGCAGCGGATATCACCCAGGCAACATGGGATGGGCCTCGAAGCTCTACGGGCGAGTTTCAGTGGTACGGGTACGGAAAGGGAACCGACTTGACCCAAGCAATCACCGGACCCATACAAGTCAAATGCAACGAAAACTTCTGTAAGGCTGAGGGCAATCCTGTCTGGGTACGGTACTGGGTCAAGAAAGAACCGTCCTTTGACATCAGCAAAATAACACACCAAGAATGGGACGACCTTGTACACGCCTCCATAAACGAATTCGACTCCATCATTGGCACCTCAGACCCTGATCTATCAGCATTCAAACGAAGGGGCGGCAAAATGATCAACTGGCACGGAACTGTGGACGCTGCGATTCCATTCAATGGGAGTACCGACTACTATGATCGTGTGTTGGCCAGGGACCCGGAGGCTCACGATTATTATCGGTTCTTTGTTGCTCCAGGTGCTGGACACTGCTTCAACTGCGGACCAAGCCCGCCTTTCTCCATGGACCCAATCATTCACTGGGTAGAAGATGGTGTGGCCCCAGGCACGCTACGAGCCTCGGGGGCAAATGGTCTCGGCGTTCACGTGGAGAGAGATATTTGCATGTACCCCGGTATCCAACATTATTTAGGGGGCGATCCAAATGTCGCATCATCTTTCAGATGTGTGTAGGTCATTACTTCATGTATTGGTAACAGCTGGCTCAGAAGATCTACTCTAGATATTGAGACTAGCCAATGGATGGGAAAACATACTTTGTAGCAAACTGTAATGTGCGATGCTCAAGATCCGTTCTAAGACGTCAAACTCTCAAACGATAAACCTTTGACATGCTCATTGGCAAAAACAGGAACCAAGTCGGCGACCATGTACCACCTGGGCTTCTCCATACCCTCGTGGATTTCTCGACCCCCGATTCTTAGCCCTTGAAACTTGACATTCTCTACCTGCCGTTGTTGATCATAGCCCATAATCTGTGAAGGGTTGACAACTTTGGAGTGTTTCATGTTAAGTGAAATGTTCTTGAAGACAACGTCACGAATCCCCCTCCCTGGCGCCGTCGTCCACATCGCGTTTTGCATAACACGGAGATTGAACAACTGACCCTTCGTGATCCGCTCAACTCTGATATTTTCTATGTGGATATCATGAAAGAGATTCTCATCAGCAGCGTTGATGGCGATGCACCCTTGGTACCACAGCTGGTTCTCCTCGTGATCCAAGATATCGATGTTGCTTATGCGAATGTTGCTTGTAGTCTCTGGTTTGGCGGGGTTCCCGTGCGTACCCATATTGATGGCGTGCGCAATGTCTGGCAGTAGCACACAGTTTTGGATCGTAATGTTTTTCGAGTCGCCGTACCAGTCCCATCGATGGGAATAGAGAGCAATGGTGTCGTCTGAGTTCCGCAGGAAACAGTTTTCAATGATGATGTTTGACGAGCAGAAGAAGTCGATTCCATCGCCGTTGCCAGCAAAGGAAAACGACCGGTACCCGTCAACGTGAACACCATCGCATTCTCCGGCCGACAGACTGAAGCCGTTGGCCCCGATTGACGTGACTTTCTCCACCAGGATGTTGTTTGCATTGCTCATGTGAATCGCCCCGCCATTCTCCCTGTGTACGTATCCGCCTTTGGGACCGAGAATGAAGCCATGGCCTCTGACTGCGTCTGCAGGTGATGAATGCCCCTCCAGCGAGATAGATGGTCTTACCTGACGGCACCATCAAGTTGACCCCGTCGGTGATGTTGGAATAAGCAGTCCCTTGATTGATCCCGGGCCCGAAGTACCAGATATCATCGGTATCTTGCGTCGGTGCGTTTGCGTCAATCTCGTTGGTAAGCAAGTGCAACGCCTTCCACTTATCATTGTTGATCTCAAGCATAACATCGCGAGACTCGTTGAGTGTGAATGTGATCTCTCCGTCATAAAGTTGAGTATCGATGCCGAGAGAGACCGGGCGAATAATTGCCTCTTTAACGGGGCAAGCCGTGTATGTTACTTTAATATCGACAGGACCGCTGATATCAAATGAGGCTAAGGCCACTGTATGTCTATTGAAGTTGTTTCGTGTGATGTTGGCGTTGGCGACCTCAATGGCGTATGCTGGCACACGAGTCCAATGCTGCTTCTCAGTGCTGCCAGGCGATGTGGGACGGACTTCTACCACAAACTCGTCGTTAATGGGTACGCCTGACGGGCTGTCATAGACCCTGAAAGCTGAGCGTGAAGCCATTTCCAACTGTTTAGCTGTTGCGAGGAAGGCTGAAAGGATAAGAAAAACTAAGCATTCGAGTTCTTGTGTTTCTGATAGGCGTCGCTTGTTAGAGAAAAGGATTTCGCTTCTGAAGTCAACAGGAACCCATATGTACGATCGAGACGTGTAATCTAATGGCAACTGACGGAGTAAAATGCGGAGCGCCCCGCTCTAGGCCAAGGAGCCATTACGGGATTATTACAGAAGCTGATGAGTGCCGAGGCCAGGCACAGCGTGGGCTGACGGGATCGGGACAATTACCGGAGCATCCCCGAGCGTGCTGCGTATCTTCAACATTTGACAATCCAGACGGGCTGTACAATTCGGGACCAACGGAGGAGTAAAGAAAAATGATTTGATCTGCAGGCAGAAGTCACCGCCGGATATTCTCAAATATTCTGCTTGCGGAATTCGCGACTTCGGAAACATCAGACAAAAGAAACTAACTTGAAAGCAACGCCCTCTTCCGTCCTGAAAGTCTCGTTTGTAAACTATCGAACTACAATTGGGATCAACCTTAGGCCATGTCTTCCTCCTTGCCAACGATCTCATTTCTTCCGGCGAATTCTGCAACACATTAGCTTCGTCATAAACTTCTCCGGAGGCGTTTCACTCACGGTCAACAGTGGTATACTTGAACTTTCTTGCGGGAATCCTGTTTTCGAAGAGAATATCAAGTTCACCAAACGTTCGGTCTTTTGTTTCCGGGAGACGGAAATAACACCACGTGTTGCAAATGAGATTAGTTCCAGCGTAAAACAAACCAGCCTTCGCTCCCCAATTCCATCCTGATATCGATTAGCTGAAGACTCTCGGCTTTCCTTGATGACTGTCTGCCTTACCAATCGGCGAAATCATTCGCGGAGTGAGGGTGTGTTCCACAATACCAGTAACATTGTAGACGAAGCGACCGATCACGATGGTCTTGTAACGGAGTCTCCCAGATGGGGTTTCCGCAACGATAGGGTAGCAGACAGGCCCGACCGTGACCATGTTGACCAGAGTTGAGACAACCAGAATGACGCCAATCGCAATCTGAGCTTTTGCATCCTTCGTGAATCCGAGTCCTCCGATTACAATGTTGCAGAAAAATAGGAATGTCAAACCACTCATGTAGAGCGTTGCACGTCCAATATGAGGAAACAGAAACCAGCATATAATGCCCCCAATAACGTAGCATGCAGACAATGAGATGTTCAGGTTGAGAGACTGGATCTCCGAAAAGCCTGCGGCTTGGAGGAAGGTCACTCCGTAAGCTACAAGAGCATTGCCCCCTAGGATTTGGGCAGCCCAGACGACGCAATTCTCCGGGAGAATCTATGTCAGAATTGTAACTTCGATATTAGGGTGTTTAGTATAAACTCACAATCTCAGTCCGCCACAAATTGGTTCCTTTGAAACACTCAATGAACGAGGCGCCGTGCGTCTCGGCCTCCTCGAGTGCTGTTGTGTGTCTGATGTACGCCAGCGAAGCATCGACTTCAGCTTCGCGTTCCGTGGTGGCTTCTCGAAGACGAACAAGGCTTTCCCGAGCTGTGTCGAATTTGCCACGCCTCACAGCGTTCCATGGAGACTCAGGTGCAAAGTACGCCCCGATGAAAAGGGGGACGGGCCATACCCACTGAAGAAGGAATGGAAGCCGCCAGCCCATGTCGCCGTCGATACTAGCGACGGCTCGGACAACTCCAGCTGAGAGCAAGATACCGGCGCCCCAACACATGCAGACGTAGGCTGTGACATAAGGCCGAAGTACAGTTGGGACGACCTCACAAGCGTATGTTGTACTTAGTGTCTGGGCCCCGAAAATTAGTAATGATCAATGCTAAGACAATATGGTTCAAATACCTGAAAGACACCCCACGAGACGCCGCACATTGCCTCGCCCCAGGCCAGCACCGGCAAGGATGGTGCGAAACACGGAATCGATATCATCACCCCCATCCATGCCATGAAGAACATCATTGTGTGCCTCGCACCAAATCTGTCTTGACACCAGGCATTCACAACCAGCCCTGCGAGTTGCCCAACTAATGCCGAATTCGAAAGTCCGGATTGCCACTCAGGAGGGATGAGCTTCTCGCCGCTTCCCTCATCAAACACACCAAAACGATTCTTGAATTGTGTCTGTCCGTAGAAGGAAGTAATCTGTTTGTCATATGTCAGCCGAGTGGGAAACATCTAGTGCAAAGATCTTGGGGGGTCCCACAATGACAAGATCGTATCCTTCCATAATAAGACTGGTAGACAAGAACAAGGCCCAGAAAACTGCCTTCCTGTACTTGGCTAGAGCCTGACGGACTGTGAGCTTGCGATCGGCGGCATCTCCCTCTTGGGCACGATTAATAAGCTCGACGGTATGTGCATCACTGAGATCGAATTGCTCAAGTTCCTTCGCTGTCGGGACAATTTTTCCAAGAGCCATCATCGACTTTGCAATTATTTGTAAGTCAAGTTTGCTGGAGAAAAGAGGTTGCAGGCGAGAAGGTCAAAAAATAGATGGGAGTTCACGGGCACGAATTGACTCTTATTTCAAAGTTCGACACATACTGATCTACTACCAACGGCTAAAAGCACACTGCATGCAACCACCTTTCACTCACTATGATTCCCTACCCCCACATCAGTAGATCCGGGGTAGCGGATCATCCCTGTTCTTAATTTGAGGGGAAGAATGAAACAGGATACGAGGAGCGCCCTGTCTTTGAGAACTACACGTGGTCAGACCTCCATGCCATGTGAGGCAGCCCAACAGAAGCGGCCCAATGGGATGAATGCCCGCTATCAACTCCACGAGGCAAAGACTACCGATTTCATCAACACACGTAACGACCTTGGCTCGAGAAAGTAGTGGTCGAAAGTGTTTGCTACTGCCCGCAAAAGAAGTAATCACCCACGACCAGTCAGGCCGCAGATCGAACCAAGATTAACAGCACGGATGTGAGATAAAGTAACTTCTGAAAGACGATTGTACATTCAACGTCGCTCCTGAATAATATGTGACGTTGATAGTATTGACTTGGGACCACCATCCAACTCTGTGACCCTACCGACCCCGCATCGGGTGCCATGCCCGTGGCCGCATCGGCCGGACGCCCCGCCCGCCCGGTCATCATGAATTGAAAGTAGCCAGCCAGATGTGTCACCGCGAAAAGCCAGACTCGATGGCCCCCCAAAGTATAAAGCCAACGGATTGCCCACGCCGGCCTTTTCGCAATGGCTAGAGCATCCTTACGTTGAATGCAGATGTTGCATGTGGACAGACTTGTGCTGGGAAGTATTCATCCTGGACTTAGTATCTAGGTCGTGACGGAAAACTCAAAGTGGTAGTGGTGCGGGAGAGGAACTAAAAAGTTCTTTTCCCGTAATCTAATGCAACTTCATTCAATTTAATATGTAAATGTCGCTGGGGCCCTATCTCCACCGAAGCCCACCAATTTTACTCGCCAGTGTGTTTTCCAGTGTGTTTTGGTGTATCTTGAATCGCTAGAGCTCCCTCAGTGCGCTTTGCCCGTCCTTCGCAACTTGGAAAAGGCAGAGTAGGTATCCTCCAACAAGATACGAGGGTCACCGAACTCGATGATGCTTCCCTCGTTCATGACAGCAACCCGATCGAAGCCAATAATTGTTTCCAATCTATGCGCAATAGCAATGATAGTGCATCCCCTGAATTCTTCCTGTAAGACGCGCCATATGAGCTGCTCCGTGTCTAGGTCCAGGCTGTTGTTGGAGAATCGCGTTAGCCTTGGCATCATATTCAAAGAGGATGACCTGTAATCTCTATCTTTAGTACTCACCTGCTGGTAACCTCGTCCAGGACGACGATTCTGCAACGCCTCATTATGGCTCTTGCAAGAGATAGCAGCTGCTTTTGCCCTTGGCTAAGTGCCTCAGGTGCCACATTGCCATCCAAGCCTCCATTGTTCTGAACGTGTTCGAACAGGTTGACCTTGCGGAGGGCTTCTCCAATTGCAGCATCCGATGAGGATTCGTAAGGATCAAGAACCTCGCGGAAAGTTCCGCTAGTGATGAAAGGATCTTGTGGGATAGCGTTGATGCTTGATCGGAGTGTTGACACGGAATAGTCACTAATATCGTTTGCATCAATGATAAGTTTCCCTTCTCTGACATCCAGCAATCGGAAGAGAGACGCAATCAATGACGACTTCCCACTGTAGATGTGTTAACTTGAGGCTGACGTTTTCGAAGGGAAGCCACACGGCGCCACTGACCTTCCACTCCGGCCGCATATGCCAACTTTCTGTCCTGCCTCGATTATCAAGTTGACATTTTTGAGTGCGAGGTTCTCATTACTCAGGCTGACAGATTCGGTCAGCATTCAGAATCAAGGTTACCATGAAGCTTCTACTTACCCATACGACACTGTCAGGTTCTTATACTCAATCTTGCCCGAAACAGGTCCGTGAACGATGGCTCCCTCGGATTTACCGTCATTCTCTCTTGGGGTAGTCTGCTCAAACTCCCTGATCCGTCCAACCGCAGTAATCGACGTCTCCATGAGCGTCCACCCAATCACAACCGATCGCAGCATCTGACTAAGAGACATCAGATTGACCAGAGCAACTGCAGTGAGCCCAAGGCTTGATCGAAGCTTCAGACTAAGGGTCACGAGTAGCGTGACTATGACCACGACCACCATGTTCAACACCAATGAAAGCCATTGCTGAATCATCTGAAGTAGGTAGTTGGGACGCTGAGATGCATCGAGAAGCTGCTGGTTGCGCTCGACGTATTGCTGAGACCATCCAAAAGCTCTGACTGTGGTGATACCCCGTAATGTATCTAGGAAATGTGTGCTACGTAGAAGTCGTGTCAGGGCAGTCCGTCATACCATGTCAAAAATGGAGCGTGGAGGAGTGTCACTTACTACAGAGGGCTTTTGAGTTCAAGATCAAGAGGCCGAAGTTGCTGCGATGTTCGAACATAGAACCGTTGAATACCGTAAAAGACCAACACCAGGAACGGGTATGAAATCATCAGCCACGGACTTGCGGTGGCGACCAAAGCGACTTGGGCTAAGGCGATGAATGCTGTTGCTACCGTGTTGAGCAGAGCAGCCGGCAGTTCGCCATCGACCGACTGAAGATCCTGAGAGAATCGATTGATGATGGTCCCTGAGTCTTTGGTGCTGAGGTAAGAAAATGATGCTGACATGACCGTTGACAGAAGGCTGTTGTGCAGGTTCTTTCCCGACCTAGACACTACCGTAGTCAGGCAATGGCGAGTGAAGAGAAACCAACAGATAAGGCAAGTGGTCTGCAGTAAGGCGTAGATGCTAAGATAGAACCCGTTTCGGGCTGCAGGATCCGCAGTCCACCAATTCACCCAAACAGAGGGAAAAGTGTATAGTGTACCAAAGACTCCCCCGAGGATTATCAGCAACGCCGTGTTCGGGCTTCCCACAGCTCGAGCGAAGTAGCCGTAAGTTGTCCGATCACTGGGTATCTTGGAAACTTGTTTCTGTGGAGCTGCACTCGCCGCAGTTTGATCTGTTTGGGTGTGTACGGTATCGGGAGAATCGGTAATCTCCGAGATACGGTCTACTTTTCGTTGTCCCTCGGTGTGATGATTGGACTCCGCTCTGCTGGCAGGGTGGGTGGAAACAGGAGGCCTGCCAGGTGCAAGTTCCACCACCAAGTCCGCAGCAAGACACAGATCCTGATCAGAGCAAGCCAAGATCACCGTCGTCTCTAGGTGGCGTAGCAGCCCTTCAGAACTTAAAAGTCGCTCGTAGATACAGGCCTTGGTCACGTTATCCATTCCGCTGAAGACATCGTCCAGTATGATGAGGGGTTTTCGCGCGTATACAGCTCGAGCGATTGCCACACGCTGTTTCTGCCCTGTACTCAGTGCATCTCCATTATTCCCAACGAGGGTGCGGTCCCCACAGGAAAGCCTTTCGAAGTCAGTCTCCAGATCCACTGCCCTGATAACCGTCTTATACCAGGCTTCGTCAACGACACTTCTTCCGATGATGTTTTCGTGGATGGTCGTGTTGGTCAAGTATGGCGTTTGATCACAGAATCCAATGCCCGGCCCAGATGACATCTTGACGATGCCGTCAACGCAAGGTACCTCACCAATAAACGCCTTGCAAAGTGTCGATTTACCACTGGCAACTGGTCCGGTAATTACTGTCAGCTGAGACTTAGGTATGCTGATGTTGACGTTGTGAAGATCCCATTGATTTTCGCTCCAACCGAAAGCGCCGTCATAGATCGTCAGAAAGTCTCTCGCAGTCAGGTGTCTCTCAGCGATGTCCGCTCTAGTTGTGGACTTTTCTGCCTCCGAATTATCGTCTTGGGGGCTACCGTACTCCCACATGACATCCGAAGTCTGCTCCCTGGTGTCATCATGTGAAGGGGAGTGGAGAAAGTCATTGATACGTTGAAGACAGTTTGCAGCCCCAGCAAACATCGGAACGTACTGGAAAAGACTTGAAAGTGGCTGAGTCAAAATGACTATCAACGAAAGAGACGTAAAGGCTTTGGCAAGGTCAAAGGTGTTGCCGCCACTTCCGCTCTGAGAAGCTGAGAGATAGATGGCGAAGCACACAACTGGGACGATGAAGATGGGTGCAAAAGCTACCAAATGAGTTAACAGAGTGGATCTCAGCCTAGATCATCATTAGCTTACCAATGCAGAAAGAAAAGACCATCATCATCCTGAATCCGTTGGCAAATTGTAGTTCTCTGACGCGAAGTGCATTCAGTGCTTGATCAGACTGTTTTCCCAATCCCAGCATTCTGATGCTCTTGATCTGCGAAAGCAAAGAGACCGTGCGGTCTGCAATCGTCTTAGACATCATTCAGAAGTCCTTACTTGACAATATTATGAGAACTTACTGATCCGCGTTTGGAGAGCATCCATCCACCGATTCTGACGAGGCATTGTGAACTTGTTGACGCATAAAGTGACCAGAAAACATGCTAGAGAAGTCAGTAGGGGTTCTCACAAAGTCCTTCAAGCCTTCCGCTTGCTTACCAATGGCAATCGCAACAGGAGCAATCGAGCCCATGTGGAGTTCCCGTTGCAAGAGCCAAACAGCTATGGCAACTTCAACTAAGTTCGCCCAGGCTTCATGAAAGACCCGTAGTCCCTGGGTGACCCTCTCCACATCCGTACTCATCAATGTGACTGCAGCATTCTCGGCTTGTGCAGAAGTCACTGTGGTAAGCTTCCTGTAGACAGCACCAACAAGAAGACCACGAATCTTAGTTAGGTTTCGAAGGTGCAGCTGCCAGTAGATGCTTCCAGAAACGGCAATGCCCAAGTAGACCAGAACAGTTCCCAGTATCATGAAGTTGTCTTGCCCATATGCTACATCTTCGGCTCTTGTATCTTGCAAACATTTCAATATGGCCTTGATAAGCAATGGTTGACTGAGGTTGAAGCCAATAAGGCATAGCCGAGGCGCTACAGGGTAGAATGACGACCACCCTAACGCCTCTATGACGTTCCGGAAGGTGCCCCAAATACTGGGATGATCCGGCAGTCTTAATTCGAGCTTTCGAGACGACAGGTCTGTGGTCAGGGGATATAAGTCTTCAATGGAAAGACCACGGCGATATCCCCTCAAGAGAAGGCGATTAAGCCAGCAACAGCATCCTCGATTCCACAATCCGCTCCATTCCTCGGGGTTGTGAAATGATTTTCCACACGTACTGAAACGTCGCTTTTCGAAAGACTCAAGGCATAATATCAGTACCTTCATACAGACACATGCAAGAGAAATCCCTAGGATTGATGCCTCATGCTTGGTTACCCAAAGAGTCCGTAGCTGGACGATGTCAAAGATCATTGAAATGGTGAAGTACAATAAAAGTATCGCTGATGGCTGTCGGGACCGGGTATGTTCGAGCCAGGATAGTGGGAGGAAAAGGCATGCGTCAAGGACCGCAGCCGCTGCAGCGGCCACCGCAAGCTGGCTCTTTTCAAAGCGGACCCATAGTATCAGAGAAGCCAGTTGAAGGCACGTGTAAGCAGCGATGGCGCTCTGAACTCAATTGCGGTGATTAGCAAATATCCACCCGAAAATCTGCAATGGATATCTATACTCACCAATTTTGAAACCTCTAAGACCCGCCCTTGAATCCTTCGCGGCCTTGTGTACAGAGAACATAACCGGTAGACTGCTAAGATAAGCACTACAGATGCTGGAAGCACTGACAGAATACTCCTTTCGAATTGTAGCGTAAAGTCGAAGATCCTACTTTCCCCTCCCTCAAAAGGGTTGAGGATCTCCATTATAGGAGAGCACAGAACAAAGAGGATATGCTCGTGGGTGGTACGAAAGTGATTGATCTGCGGTGCAAATGCACTTATCAGAAGAAGGTAAGATGTTGGTCCCGGATTTTGTCGGGTGTTGCCTGAGCTTTTGATTGCCAGGAAAGTTCTACGACAAACCCGTCAGTGGTAAGGAGATTGGTTAACACTATTACTGGGTCATCCGTCATATTTAACCACCTGATGTTGGCCCAGAATCCGTTGGCCCTGTCGGCCAAGTTGTTGGTTTGATATGCATTTAAGGACCTGCCTATTAGGGATGTACCTGAGTTGGAACTTAAGTTGAGCACAATTCCGACCCTCTGCGAAGAGAAAATGCCCTCTGACACGGAAAGAAACTGGGATGGTCTTACGTGGGATCTCAATTACGCAAAAGGAAATATATGACGATCGAGTACTTATGTGAAATCCAGGTCCTCGCCTCCACTAAAGACCGTCGCCTAGAGCAGCTTGAGAACTCATAATGCCGGTGTGGGGGATGGCAGCTGTAGCCTCCCAAGTCACGTTTTGTTGTTGGGTACTCGCGCCCGTCAATGAGCGCGCCGCCCCCTATTTATTTACCCGAGTGGCACAGATTTCAGTCCTCACTATCTTCGAATCAAAATATCTCGAATATTTCGCTAATGTCGCTCTGGCTAGCTAATTATGGAAGGTGCCGATTCCACGGACTTGGCAGTATAGGTCCCTGTTTATTTTCCCTCTGAATGTGTTCCAGTCAACATTACGCGACGTCACTTGGTATGTTTCCTCAAGCGTGGAATGTGTTATGTACAAGGCATTCTTAGCCGAAGTCATGAAGGCTACGAAGACGGGCTATGGTCGTTGTTGCTAAGTCGCACGAAGCTCTGGACAGGTTTTTTGATACGCAGACCGATCCGAAGTCCTGGAAAAAAAGAAAACTTGTTTCCGTTCACGGATAAGGACATGGAGTGTTTCAGTAGGAAAGAACTAGAGCCTGTCAAAGTTCAAGCTGAGCCGGTAGATCTGATCCTTTAGAATTCCCGCGTCACACACTTTGGCGTTGATCCGACCAAGAAAAGTGACACTATTCGGACGATCATCTATGCCACCTACACCCCGCGAAACCTCACTACCAAGGCAGCCCTCGCCGAGAAGAAGCGTGTCTTTGAGGCATATGAATACACAACGCACTCACAGCACGGCAACTCGGAGAACATCGCCCTCGGAGAATTGGCTGCTCGGCTGCCTGACGGCAGTCTGGACCCTCGGAATCCTACAGAGCCATGGGAGAAGGCAGAGCAGACCGATTGACTGTTGCAGCTTGCTGGAGTAAAGCTTTCCTGAATGGCCTGCTCTTGACGCAATATGGAGACAGGCATTCTTACACGTTCTCTTTCCTGTCTCTTCAAGGGAATGCTTCTTGGATTCTGAAGAACGCGTCAGCCCACGATGAGCGTTCACAAATTAAATGTCGTTTGGAGAAAAGGCATTATTAGTTTAGGGTGCTTTTCTCAGATATCTGCCGCTCTTTGTACGTTCTGCAGAATAGTCATTCACTAACTCTAATCCGAAGTATATGTTGTCACGAGTTCAGAACTTTGCGAGAATGATTGAGCCCAGTTCTGCAATAAAGCTACACACATACGTACAATATCGGCATTTTCCAATACTATCCTTCTTCACTTCGACCCATCATATTTTCGTATAGCATGTTACCTCCTGCGGGCACTCTTTTGACTGCCGTATGATTCTGACGCTACAGGTTTACCATCGCTCACGCCTTGCTATTTGTACTCGGGAGTTACCAAATATCGAGACTTCTCCTCAAATTTAATCAAGCCACATGGATTTTTACTTATTTCACGCTTCACTGCTTAACATAGTTCATATTCAATTTATCAAATGCACGAAATACCGCAGTCTATGATTTTAATTTCCAGTCCAGCAAATGGCGGACGGTGGCACCGCATCACTGAGAAACGCCCCCCACGCGCCACAACGTTACTCTTTACCAGCACCTTGAAGGTCCAAGGAGGGTCGTGTCCATATCCAGCCCTCCCGATTGTGACAAATTCTCTGATTCATGATTCTTTCCCGTCAAGTTCGTAATCAGTTCTAGTTCGCACCTGCGTTTGTCCATCTCTCTCTCTCTCTCTCTCTCTCTCTCTCTCTCTCTCTCTCTGAGCGTCATGCGTATCATTCATCTGCTAGTCTGCCTCGTGGCTTTAGGGCTAACCGATGCTCGCAAATGCAACGGCCACGAACATCTCTGCAATAGGAAATACTCGAACGTCACTTTCGTCGGTTCGCACAACGCTAACTTCGTCGGCGAAAGAATAACTCACAATCAGAATGTCCCTATCACTCGACAGCTTGACATTGGCGTCCGATTTTTGACTATTCAAACACACTGGAAGGACGACGAGATCAGAATGTGCCACTCCAAGTGTTGGCTTCTTGATGTGGGAAAGTTGGAGGACTTCTTGTTAGAGGTCAGCCGCTGGATGAAGAACCACCCTAACGAGGTGGTGACCCTACTGTTGACGAATCCGACTTCCATCCGCGGGAGAGACTTTGCCGCAGCCTTTCGGAAGGCCGGAGTGGATAAGATTGCTTTCACGCCAAACAAGAAACTTGCCGTCGATTCGTGGCCCACGCTCGGTCAACTAATTGACAATAAGAAAAGGCTTGTTGTCTTTATGGGTACTACTCGCCTAGCTCCAACATAATATTGCAGTATGTGTTTTTAAAGTGATTAGCATGCTAACTTGAGTAGATTACCCCGAAAGGCCTACTCGCGAGAAGTGGATTATGGACTGGTTCAGCTACTCCTGGGAGACACCATATGGCGAACTGGACAACAACTTCCCTCACTGCAAGCGTGACCGGCCACAACAGCACATCGATGAATCAAAATATATGTACCTGATCAACCATGTCTGGAACAAGAAGCTGGGTACGGAGTTCGAGGGAGAATCTATCAAGATTCCCACCAGACTCGCGGCAAACACCACCAACTCGATGGACTCAATCAGTCGACAGGTCAAGCTTTGCAAGGCGAAGTGGGGAAAGATACCCAATGTCATTCTGGTAAGTTAAGCTTCACTGGCCGTTGATGAAATCCTCTTCGTCACGGAAACTTGGGCCGAATGTGCAAGTGCTAATGTTCTATTACAAAGCTCGATTTCATTGACGTGGGCGACGCCATCAAGGCACAAGATCATTTTAACTCTTGATTGGGACGTCCCATGTTGTTGTATGGCATTCTATTTCTGTAGCAGTTCAATGTCGTTCATCAAGCAATATCCTTGGATCGTCTTACTATCCCGGGGATGCTCGCCAAGTTACACCCTCCTTGGCTGAACATTTGACTCGCTAATTGCCCTACCAACATGTTGGCTTGACGCAGAATCCATCCACATCAACCCACCTCACAATGTGCACGACCCCAATATACAATAGCAACTCTAGATGTGCCGTCCCAACTGACCTCCAGCTTCTCACGATCAATTCTTGCGCATGGGCGACGAACCATGTCGCAAATGATGCGCAAATAACAGAAAACCATACTTTCCAAACTCGCGAGAAGTACCAGCAAGGACCCATGTATATCTCGACAGTTACCCATGCTGCTATTCCCAGTCCCCAGACCACGGCTCTCCCAACGTTCAGGCGCCATCTGTTCATTTGATGTAAACTCATTCCCGTTCGTGCGTGAATTACTACAAGGCTGGTCCAGCTTTCCAGTATGTCTTTGATGTCATCGCGAGTACGAGGCGGCCAGAAGCGGTGGATATTGTATTGTGGGTCGCAATATCCGTCAGGGGAGATGGTGGCCATCCCAACGGATAGGGCAGTTGGGTAAATGGCGAAGGCGACAAGAGCCAGCCATTTTGTGACAGCTTCATCATCATGTATTTTCCTGGCAAGAGAGTTGCGCGGTGAAAGATGTACAGCAGACCGGAGGCCTTCGGCAACAAGATGCTGCCCACCCCATGCGCTGAGGCAAAACCTGGAGATGATGGTAATGACTTCCCTTGACGTTGAAAACCACGGCCGCCACATTTTGAAGGTTCTCATGAATTTCTCTCTTGCTTTGCATTCGAGCTGTATTTTTTCCGGGGGGACTGACCCCGGGGGCCCGGAACAGTCGCAGAGGAGCGTCCAGGTGATCACGCCTCCAGCAAGGATTGCCAGGGAGATCGATCCCCACAGCACAACTCTCGTAGCATTGTGGAATCTGACACGAGGAAATGGCATGTTTGAAGTCTGTCGCTGGCAGCGTCTTAAGCTTGTGTATGCGGCGTGAACTGTCGGTTAAAGGGAGAGAGAAGCACGTCAGGTCGCCCTAGGCCGGCGGGTCCGCAGCTCCGCAACGGCGCACCGGTTGAGACAACAGTGTCAAGGTTGCGACGGATGTTAAGTCGGCCGGTTCTCGAAGTCGATGGGGTGGCGATTTTGCAATCCTAAATTGAGGAACTCTTCAGTCGTGCGTACAAATGGAAGGGCAAGTTTTGTGGTGTGTTCTCCGTCTCCTGAACCTGGATATGACGACACTTTAACCGACGTGCATTTCAGCCCTGGAATGGTTGGCTGCGCCTACCATGCATGTAAGCCGGCTCAATTTCACTGTTCGTCGGAGCATGGGCCCCGAGTACCTTTATCTCAGGTTGCACTCATTCTCAAATACAAGTCCAAACTGTGAGAAATCCAATATTTGCTTTTATATAGAACAGACACGCGGTTGAACAGACTTTTCCTGAGCTGCGTTGACAATGGCTGTACTGGTATCAACCAGACCCCTGCGTCCCTCGCAAACATTTGCCCGGCTTTTGCGCACAATCTATTGCTCTCCACGGATCCGGTCAGCACGCAATACAACACTCTTTGTGTGTCCGAAAATGACAACGCCCGAGCAGAACTCCGTCCCGTGCTGACAGTCGACCAGGGCCCTATAAGACTATCGAAATTGTAGGTTGGTTCAATGCAACGACAGAATCCGAACCGACCTAAGACAGCGCGGGGACAAGCATCCAGGGCCCTGCTGCCCGCCTTCAGTGATCCGTTGTCCGGGGTTCGCTCACCTGGGCATGCAGCTGTAGCACACGAGGAAATCATCGCAGGACGACTGCCCATGTCATTCTCGCCATCATCGTGCATCACGAACGGTCTTATTTAATGCCAGTCACCCGCCGTTGTATCCTACGATGTTTTCTCCTCAGCGCTTCTCGCTTTTGTCCGCTACGAAGAGCGCGCCTCCGTCGGCGAAGCGATCATCAAGATGAAGCTGACGCATTGTCTTCTCTCCAGTCTTGTAGGACTCGTGGCTGCCCAGGATCGACTTTTCTCGTCGGCGTTTGGCTACCCCGGTCGGGATGCTAGCTATGACTACATCGTCATTGGCGGCGGCACCGCAGGCCTCACGATAGCGTCCCGCCTCGCGGCAACATCTGCATCCGTCGCTGTCGTCGAGGCCGGCGGCTTCTACGAGGTTGAGAATGGCAACAACAGCGTTGTTCCTCTGCTTTCTCTCACCGGCATTGCCTTCATCGATCCCACGCCCGAATTCACCCCACAGCCTTTGATGGACTGGTCGCTCGTCTCGGAACCGATCCCCGGCGTGGGTGGCCGGAGGGTCCACTATGCACAGGGCAAAACTCTTGGCGGTTCGTCCGCGATCAACACGATGTCGTACATCCGCGGAACGAAGGGCTCGTACAACCTCTGGGCCGAAACTGTCGGCGACGACTCGTTCAAATGGGACAACATGCTGAAGTACTTCAAACGATCGGTTCATCTCACACCGCCGAATGAGGAGAAACGGCAGAATACCAACGCGACCGTTGTGTTTGATGCTTCTGATTACAGCGGGGACGGTGGACCTTTGCAAGTTTCGTGGAACAATTGGGTTGATCCGACTTTGACATGGCTTGCAAAAGTCATTTTGAGCCTTGGCTTGACAATTAGCCCAAAAGGTTTCAGCAGTGGTGAGCTTGTCGGCCACGGCGCTTGGGTTCCATCGACAATTGAGCCCGAGAAAGCTCACAGGTCAACCAGCGAGAGCACGTTCTTGCGACAAGCAATCAAGGATACGGGCATTATCGTGTATACCCACACTCAAGCCACCAAGATCTTGTTCAACGGCACTCAAGCCACTGGGGCCAGCGTCAACTCACAAGGTGTTGACTACACCCTATCAGCGCGCAAGGAGGTCATTCTTTCCGCAGGGACGTTTCACTCTCCACAACTTCTCCAAGTATCGGGCATTGGCTCCCGGGAACACCTCGAGGCTTTATCGATTCCAGTGATAGCCGATGTCCCCGGAGTAGGACAGAACCTCCAAGATCCTATCCAGATCTTCGTCGCGTACCCTGTTAGCACGCCCTCAGCGCAATCCCTGACTGCAGATCCAACGTTAAACTCAATGTTTATTGAAGAGTATCTCAAATCTGGAAGTGGGCCGTACAGCTCGGCTGCAGGATTCTTGGCCCACGAGCGCCTCCCGAACTCAACGCTCGCCAAACTCTCGCAGGATACACGTGATAAGCTCGCATGGGTCCCTTCGGATTGGCCGCAGCTGTCGTTCATTGTGGGCTCTTTCTCTACAGGTCCAGGACAAACCAGCGGCACTCTCGCCGCGTACCTTCCCCTGGTCTTCTCCCGAGGCAATGTCACCATTTCATCGCCTTCAGTACTGAAGAACCCACCCAAAATCAATCTGAACTGGCTCTCTGATCCCGCAGATGTTGAGCTTGCCGTGATGGCCGTTAAGCGTCTCCGCACAGCATGGGCTTCAGACTTCGCCAATACCCCAGGCTTCAAAGCCGGCCCAGAAGGACTTCCCGGAGACGCGGTGCAGACTGATGAAGAGATCTTGGAATATGTCAAGGCTAATGTCGGCCAGGTATGGCATCCAGTTTCAACATGTGCCATGGGCAAGGAAGAGGATGTTCAGTCCGGCAAAGCGGTCGTTGACAGTCATGGGAGGGTATTTGGCGTTCAGGGGCTGAGGGTTGTGGATGCAAGCACCTTTCCTTTTGCCGTTCCTGGACATCCACAGTCTGCTGTTTATGCGCTAGCAGAGAAGATTGCGGATGATATTGTTTTTGGTAATTGAGTCTGTCCAAATAAGTATAGTTCCGGTTTTGGAATGCAGAGCCATGAGAACAAAGTCACAATACAGTCCCAACTAAAGACGGGTAATGCCAAACAACGATAAGCGACGTTACTTTTTCGGTGTCCTTGATCTCGATATTGCTCAAAATGAACGCCACCATGACTTCGAACTTATGTCATCGAATGATGTTGTTCTTTACTGGCCAAACTCATCGATGAAGTTCACCTCCATTTGCCCCACGATGGATTTGACATCCATGGCAGGCATCCCAATGAAATCTTTGAAGATGTGGAAGGGCAGAGACATCAAGCATATCACCGCTAAAGACGAATGAGGACCAAGGTTGATGGTGAAAATTTGTTTCCGGGATGCGGTATGGGATTTCGTCCCACCCTCCCAATCTAACCGAAGGGTATATGCGCTCTAGAGGAACCATATTTATAATACATAGGAAGACCAGATAAAGAAAAAACACACAATAATATCCATCATATCTTCATCTCACTTAGATGACAAAGACAGCCAGTGCCGCGGCCATCAAGAACGCGCCAGAGCTGAGCTTGCCTGCGCCAGCCTGAACGGGGCCGGTGGTAGTAGCAGGGCAAGCAGAGCCGATGCAGGGAGCGGCGGTACCGGTTGGGAAGAGACCGGTGGGGAGAGTGCCGTTGTAAGGAGAAGAGGGGGCGACGACGAGAGTGGTGGGCATCGCGGTGTCAACGGGGGTCTCGGCTACGGGCTTCTCGGCCGAGTTGGTCTGGCCGGCGGCGGGAACGCTGACGGTAGTCGCACCGGTTGCGGGGACGGCCGGGGAGGTGGTGGCGGGGGTCTCGCCGACCGGCTTCTCGGCAGACTGAGTCTCACCGGTACCAGGGACAGCGGGGTTCTGGGGAACGTTGGTGACGGGAACGCCGGCAGCGGGGGCAGTGGTGGTGATGACGGCGCTTGTCACGATGGTAGTCTCCTTGCCGACAGGGCAGTTGGTGACGGTAGGGGCGCATGAGGTGATGGTGTGGACCTCGGTCTTGTAGGTGGTCAGGACGACGGGGACGTCAGGGGCCTGAGTGGTGACGGGGACGGGCTTCTCGCCCTCGACGGTGGTGGCGGGAATGACCTCGCTGGTGATGATGGTGGTCTCCTTGCCGACGGGGCAGTTTGTGACGGTAGGAGGGCAGGAGGTGATGGTGACGATGTTGGTCTTGTAGGTGGTGATCTGGCCGGCGGGGGGCTGCGCGGTGATGACGGGCTTCTCAGCCTGGGTGGTGGTGCCGGCGGCGGGCTTGGTGTAGCTCTCGACGGGGATGGCGGCGGTGGTGGAGATGACCTCCTCCTTGGTGACGGTGGTCTTGGAGCCGACGGGGCAGTTGGTGACGGTAGGCGCGCAGGAAGTAATGGTGTGGACTTCGGTCTTGGAGACGGTCATCGTGGTGGGGACGTCGACGACCGGGCAGATGGTGGTGGTCAAGGGAACGACCTCGGTGACGATCTGAGGAGTCTCGCGGGCAGGGCAGTTGGTGACCGTGGGAGCGCACGAGGTGATCGTCTTGACGTTGGTCTGGTAGACGGTGGAGGTGGCCAGGCGAGTGGGCAGATCGGCGATCGGGGTCTCGGCGGGACCGGCGGAAGCGGGGACGGAGTGGGTCTCGGCGCCGGACTCGGTGGCGATGCCGGTAGCAGCGGCAGTGCTCGACACAACGACATCGGACGCAACAGCAGTGCTGGCAACGGCAGTGGAAGAGGCGACTTGGCTGGTGGAAAGAGTAGTGTTGCTGGCCTCTCCCATCTGGTAGATCTTGATGGAGCTGAGCTTGAAGTAGACATCAGCAAAGGCGGCCGGGTTGTTGGCAACCCATTCCTTGCAGGTGAGACCAGTCTGAGCCTGGCAGCCATTGTCCGCATCCCAGATGCCTGATCCTGATTGGCCTGCTATGCCACACAGATTGATATTCATGATCAGCTTCGCCTCGCCAAAGACCTTGGAGGCTTCGCAGACGCTGGTGGTGAAGCTGGGGGTTCCCCAGTTGTCGGGGTTGGGGTTACTGGCAATGTCGGCGGGGACGTTGGCATGCGTGAAGCCCCACACCTTGATGGCAGTGTCGGTCCATTCCATGGCGTAAACTCCGCCCTCAGCAGAGCCAAAAGGAGCGGAAGAGTCGAGGCCGGCACAGCCCTCATTGTCAGACTGACCCGCGGCATAGTTGGCGCAGTTTGGCTTGCTGACGGTGCCGCTCATGCCAGTGCCGTCGATACGGCACTCGCCAATGTCGCCGTCGGTGTGAAGGACAACCTTATTGACATTGTCCAAGTTCCAGGTCTCGACGATGTCGATTTCACCGGCAGCAGGCCAGGGGTTGCCGACGGTCCAGCTTAGATGATTTCGTTAGCATACTCACAATGCACCATGATATGGCATCCTTTGACTTACAAAGCAGGCCAGGCACCACAGGTAGGCTTGGGGAAGTGAGAAAAGTCGGCGACGAAGAGACCCTTTTGGTACTGGCTCTTACTCTCGATACGGACAGAGTTACGGCCGACGCCAGCGGGATCCAGGGTTGTCGTGGAGTCGACGCCGAGATAGAGGTCGTTGTCGACGATTTTCAGAAGGCCCTGAGCCTGGGCGTTCTCAGCAGACTGGTAGTTGACGTATCCGCTCGTGGGGTCGACATCGTTGTAATCGCCGGTGGAGTAGTCGCTCTGGGGGGAGAAAGAGGTCGTCAGTATATGCCGATCACATCATCGACTATCATGAGCCTGTATTGTGGGCTTTCGTCTTGGTACTTACGGTGAAGAAACCGAACTTGTCCAGAAAGTTCGTGGAGTCGTAGGTGTCCACCAGCTGGTATGACTGGGTGGCAGAGACAGTGGTACCCAGAATGAGGGCGGAAGAGAGCGTGGAGAGAAGCGAAGGCGCCATTTTGGGCAAGAGACAAAAATAACAACAAGAATTAACTATTCAAAAACACACACAACACACAAAAGCGACTGAATTGGATCTTCAAACTAAGAGAACGAAAGAATGAAGGTCGTGTTTAAAGAAAGGAGTGACTAAGATACCAAAGAGGAAATCTCGAAGAGGATAAGAGGGAAAAGGCCTAGATGCCCAGGGCGCGTGTCCCATGGGGTCGCCCATCCATCTTATACCGAGCCGACTATACGGTCGACCCAGAACCGTTGCTGACCTGTCGATTCACCTGCAGGGCCATGAGATGAAATTCCTCAGGGGTTCAGCCCGCTCGTCCTTTTTCTCCAGCATTCCCACTCATTGGGTCTGCGGGTTCCAGCAAGAATAGCCAGAGCCTTGGTAGGCAGGCAGGGCAACTTCACAAACGGTGGCTCTCGTCTTGGTTGGAAGGGGGCCCGTAAGCGAACCGGGAGGAAACCAAGAAGAGAGACTAGAACACAGCCCCCCTGACAAGCTTGCCAATTCTGGAGATATCCAAGGACTCGTCCGCTCCAGCTGGTCTCATGGTGTGGCCGCTAGGTGGTCCCACCGATGAACATCTGGAGTCTCTTCGTGAAGACTGGAGAGGCGTGGGAAGTGTGAGTGGGAACTCTGGTTTCTCCTGCACAATCCAGGCAAGAAACAGACGGCAAACAATGCACCAATACAGAATCAGGCTAGCAAGTTTTCATCCCAACCTGAAAGGATGCCCAGGACAGAAACGGGACGGCGGTTGGCTGGCGGTTCAGGCACCGTCCAGGCGTGAAGAAGGGCGGGTGGTGGTCGTCGTTCCTGAGGCCAATCGAGTTGTGAGGACCACATGCGTCCGAACCTCGCACCCTTGTCGGTTATGCCAGGAACAGACCCTGATGTGGGTGCTGGCGGGCCAAGATTCCGCGGTTCCCCTATTTTCTGCCCGGAGCGCATTCGTGGCATTTCGGCGCTAGGCCATGCGGCTTGCAGGGGTTTGCTGATGCGCCCTCTGCTCAAGCCGCCGAGATCTTGATGGCGCTGTCACTGTTTCGGACATGATTGGCAGAGAGATCTTCTGCGCCGTTGCATCGAGTCCTCTAGACCAGCGGCTGTTTTTTTTTATACCAACCAGAGGACTCGAAAAATAGAAAAATGCTGGCACGAATGGAGGTCTGACGCGCCGTCGCTTTTTTAGTTGCGTTACACCAGAGCGACGGGCCGCACATAAGTCTGGCTCATCACTTTTTCTGCACATCCCGCTGGGTATGCCGAGCTCCAACCGTTTTTATCCACGCACACCAAGAAAACGTGGTTCTCTTTTTTTCTCTTTTGTGGTTTTCATCCGTCAACGTCCCGCTCAGGGGCTCGCTCCCGTTTCGGAGGACAAGGTCCAATCGGGACGGCTGCAGGGCTGGAATTCGCGGCGTAGCGGCGGAGGTTTCGTTCAAATGCGTCCTAGCGGAGGGTTTCCGGTGGAGCATGGAAAGCGGCACGGATTGAAGGTGGGTATTGTCTTTGCTCGTTGACGCCGCGTATTTGGGGGCAAAAGTCCACGCACGACCGAGGTCGATAGAATGGATTCATATGGATTATGGAGCCTATCCATCACGTAGGGTCGAATCTGCACAAAATGCACGAGATCCTCCAGAAAGGCCCCTCACGCGCGCGAACATGCCTTGTCTTCAGCTGCGATACTGAATGGATCATGTCTCGCTTGACGAATACGTGCTCCGCTTTGGCGCTAGCTTGTTCTCCTTCGGTCCTGTATCAAATTGATCGAGCTGGATTGGGGGAAAACAGTATCAAGGAACCCATGGGCCGGGCAAACTATTCTTGGTATTCCCTTCATCTCCTTCACCTTCGCTGACCGACTCTACGGCACTGGCTCACCGTCCGATGGGTGGCCTCTGGTATTTATTGTAATTTTATTGCGCTGCGCCTCGCCAAGATGGTACGTTAGTGTGCTGTCATTTGCGTGTTGGTAGTTGGACACCGGACATGAGTTGCGACAGGACGATATCTTGCCAACCCTTGTCTGCATTGTCAGCAATGTTATGCGCAAATGCATTTTCTTTACTTCCTAGGCACG